CATGACAAGACGACATTTGGTAACTTCTTACCTCTTTAACGATGTTACTCACTTCATCAATAACAAAAGAAGTCTACAGAAAAATTCAGAGGTAGAATTTTAAATAAATGAATACTTTTAAATGTTTCAGAGCCAGTTTCTAGTTGCGAGTACAAGTTTCACTAGTGGAAATTTAGCTAGTAAGTACATTTTTTAGGATAATTTAGACGGTTAGTCTGTCAGACATAAATCAACTTTCTCGTTTACATTTAATTAGGCTTCTCACTGGATTGAATCAGTACTTTGCCTACTCATTGCTAATAAAATATTTCTTATCACTTGGATTAGCATGGAATTAAGTAAGATTTTAACTGACTTATTTCATTTTTACAATAAAATTCAGCATATTAGTTCTATTTTGAGCAGTTCCATTCTTTTTGGAGGACAGTGGCATGATACTAACTATGCCTATACAATGCAACAATCAAGACTTTCAACAAGCCAGGAAAGGAAGTTATGATTTCTTGAGTAACTCAGTCCTTGAGTACATATACTCAAATCTAAGACTACAATTTACAGTTAGACACAAAGGTTAAAAGCAGACAGCACAGATGCAACCTTACGGGGAGGGGGACATGTCCATCCCCACTCCACCTTTACTATTCTGTTGAAGTTCCCTTTCATGTAGGTAGCTGTCTCCTGGCTCCCCACAACTTTTTTAAACGTTTGCAGTTCTGCTTGGAAGTCCAGGTTGTTTGTATCGTGGTAGTATCAAGGCTCCTATTAGGGCACAAGTAATGCTAGACTCTGTATACACATGAAATAACCTCTGCTCCAAACAGCTTACAATCTAATGTGACTACTGATGGAGAAAACAGGAAAAATTGGAATGAAGATACTTAGGGTAATAGTAAAATGACTGAGCTTGGTAAAATTGAAGTTTTGCCTGAGAAAGAACATCAAGATCAAGTTTGCTGAGTGGGTGCAGAACAGGAAAGTGACACGGTCAAACTGGCCATGTGTGTGTATATGCGCAACTGGATAATGTGTTTCTCCTTGATACAGTTCCATTTTAAGTGTCTTTATTCCTTACTTGTTACAGTATTGTTTTATTCCACCTGACCCTTGCAAAATATCTTTAGAGACCAAAGAGCCTGTAGTCAACCCTTGACATGAGATTATGTTTTATGAATGAAGATGGATCAGTTCCTCTGTCCTGAATAATTAATAAAAACAGGGGAGGGGAAGAAAAGGGGGAATGGTGGCAATGTAATCTTCATTAAAAAATAAGAAAGCCAGCTTTCTGGTTAATGGATTCTGTTAACAATGTGGTGTCCCAACAGAAAACTGCTAAATTTGTACCTTTGTGTATGTGTAATGAAACTAAGTTACTTCTGCTGTAGAATCCATAATTTTGACCTTCTTGACTTGTACATTTAGATTCTCAGTCTTACCATTAACGCTTTCATACTGGACTTCCTTTGGCATTTGAAAAAAGAAAAGGTTCTAGAATATTTAAACAAACATGACCATTATGTTACAGTCACATTTCCTGATATCGGAGGCTTATAAAATTATATGTTTCTCCCATATGAAATGGTAAAGGGGAAGACAATTGATAATCTGTGTGTACAAATCTTCACAGAATCAGTACTTCTTAAAAAACAAGTCTTGGTAACAAATACAAAGTTTACTGAACTGGTGGTCTCTTGGACAGCGCTAATGTGTTAACCAAACGATCATTGATTCAGGTATGGTAGTCACAAGTTATAATACAGGTTTCAAAATAGCAGCCATGTTAGTCTGTATCCGCAAAAACAGGAGTACTTGTGGCACCTTAGAGACTAATTTATTAGAGCAAAAGCTTTCGTGAGCTACAGCTCACTTCATCGGATGCATAGAATGGAACATATAGTAAGATTGTGTGTGTATATATATATATACACACACAGTTGGAAGTTACCATACAAACTGTGAGAGGCTAATTAGTTAAGATGAGCTATTATCAGCAGGCGGGAAAAAAAAAAAAAACTTTTGTAGTGATAATCAAGATGGCCCATTTAGACAGCTGACAAGAAGGTGTGAGGATACTTAGCTTAAGGAAATAGATTCAATATGTGTAATGACCCAGCCACTCCCAGTCTCTATTCAAACCCAAGTTAACGGTATCTAGTTTGCAGATTAATTCAAGCTCAGCAGGTTCTAGCTGGAGTCTGTTTTTGAAGCTTTTCTGTTGCAAAATTGCCACCCTTAAATCTTTTACCAAGTAGCCAAAGAGGTTGAAGTGTTCTCCTACCGGGTTTTTGAGGGTTATGATTCCTAATGTCAGATTTGTGTCCATTTATTCTTTTGCGTAGAGACTGTCCGGTTTGGCCAATGTACATGGCAGAGGGGCATTACTGGCACATGATGGCATATCTCACATTGGTAGATGTGCAGATGAACGAGCCCCTGATGGCATGGCTAATGTGATTAGGTCCTATGATGGTGTCACTTGAATACTATGTGGACAGAGCTGGCATCGGGCTCTGGGTTAGGGGTTCTGTTGTGTGGTTGCTGGTGAATATTTGCTTCAGGTTGGGGGGCTGTCTGTAAGCGAGTACTGGTCTGTCTCCCAAGATCTGTGAGAGTAAGGGATCATTTTTCAAGATAGGTTGTAAATCTTTGATGATTCGCTGGAGAGGTTTTAGTTGGGCACTGAAGGTGACAGCTAGTGGCATTCTGTTATTTTCTTTGTTGGGCCTGTCCTGTAGTAGGTGACTTCTGGGTATTCTTCTGGCTCTGTCAATCTGTCTTTTCACTTCAACAGGTGGGTATTGTCATTTTAAGAATGCTTGATAGAGATCTTATAGGTGCTTGTCTCTGTCTGAGGGATTGGAGCAAATGCAGTTGTATCTTAGAGCTTGGCTGTAGACAATGGATCACGTGATGTGTCCTGGATGGAAGCTGGAGGCATGTAGGTAAGTATAGCAGGTTTCCGTGACCATCGCTTACTAGCACAGTAGTGTCCAGGAAATGGACTTCTTGTGTGGATTGGTCTAGGCTGAGGTTGATGGTGGGATGGAAATTGTTGAAATCATGGTGGAATTACCACACAACAGAAACACTAACCCAGAAACCTATCCTTGCAACAAAGCGTGATGCCAACTCTGTCCACATATTTATTCAAGTGACACCATCGTAGGACCTAATCACATTAACCATGCCATCAGGGGCTCGTTCACCTGAAATGAAAGAAAATATCTGTGTGCTGCAAAATTGAGGCACAATTGGGAGGTTTATCTGGCTTAATTCAGCGTGCCCTTGCTTTTGTGCTCAAGCTTCTATGCTCTGTGACATTTCTGTGCACTTAATGCAATCATGAAGTTCATATAATGACAGGAGTCTATTGTTCAGTAGTTATGTCAGAAAAATGTCTATTACGATATTTCTCTATCATAGCCTACAAAAGAGTGTTGAAAGAGAAACTTTCAGGATAGAAGAAAATAATATGGGCATAGAAGGAGGCTGAAAGATAAAGGGGTACCCAAGATACAGAGACACAAAAGTGACCGAGGGACAGGGTGTGGGAATATTGCTTCGTGAGATATTTCAATGACCATTAATGTGCAAAGAGTTAAAGCTTGAATTCTATGTTAAGACTTGGATTAATCAAGCTTCATTCACTTGCTTTGTGAGGTTATCAAAACCCCACAGCGGGCCATGCGGTTCTGGGAGACGTTATTCCTTGGTGACAGGCTGATGAAGCGGGTTTTAGGCCACGAAAGCTTATGCCCAAATAAATGGGTTAGTTTCTAAGGTGCCACAAGGACGCCAACTTATTATTCCTTGGATGTGTCGTACTCGCTAATCAAATGGCACCCTGCCCCTGCAAGCAACCGGCAGCGGCAGCAGCACCGCGCGGCCACATGGAGAACACAAAGGCTCGGCTCCCCCTGCCCGGGATTCACAAGCACCGAGGAGGGGGGCACTGGGCGTTACGCCCCGGGGCTGCAGCAGCCCCGCCCCCCGCGACACGGGCAAGGCACGAGCCAGGGGAAGCCCGTTTGGAGCTCGGGCACGCTCCGGCCGTTGGGGATTCCGGGAACGCGCGAGGCTCCCCCTGCCCCCGGACGCTTAGCTCGCCCCCTCTCCCGGAGCAGCCCAGGAGCGCGGAGGGTGGGTCTCCTAGCAACACCGCCCGCCCGCCCCCAACCACCGTGTGTGTCGGGGAAGGGCGGCAGCGATGCGAACAGGGGATCCCTGCGCCCCTAGAAGGCTCCTCGCCGGGATCCCTGCCCCGCTGCCCGAGCTGTTACCTCCTCCCCCGACTGCAATTCGTCCATCTTTCCTCCGGCCCGGACCCCAGCCGCTCACGCCGCCAGCCTGCAGGAAACACCGCGGCCCCGCCCCCCTGATAACCTCTCCGCCAACCGCGGGCCGCTCGCGCCGCGCCTGCGCACCCACCCCGCCCACTGGCGTCCCCGCCGCTCCAACCGCGGCGGCGCAACGCTCTCGGTTACCTCACAGCCTTCTGCGGCTCGGAGCCCTGCTTACAGTGCGCCTGCGCATTCAACCTCATTCTGTTCTCCGACATCTGCCTCCGCCGTTCTCGAGTGGCTCATTTTGCGCCGGCGCATCCGACGCCTCCACCCCCTCCCAGTTTGCAGCTCGTCCTGGTGCCTGCGGAGTCGACCCTGCTCTTTTAGGCGCCTTTCCCCAGCTATAGCAACAGGCAGGGCGGTGCATGCTGGGATACGTTGGTGCCCGGAAAGGCGCCGTTTCCTCCCCACCCCACAGCCTAATCTCGTGACAGCAGTCAGTCAGCGCTTGGCCCCGCCCAGCGCCTCCCACGTGACAAGGGGGCGTCGTTGTCGGTTTCCACGGGAACCCGGACCCCCTCCTGAGTTACCCATAGGCCCGGCAGTGGGTGGGCCCAGCTGGGCTGGGTCTGCCAAGGCGTGGCGCGAGCCTCGCTGCCCGCTCCCGGGACCCGCTGGCCATGTGCCCAGGCTGGCCCCGGCCGGCCCGCCCGCCCGCCCGGCAGCTGGCGCAGCTCCCGCCATCCGCAGGACTCTGCATTGCCCGGGCCCCGGCTGCAGGAGTGGGGCAGTAATGCGCGGCCTGGCCTGGGAGAAACTCTCACTCCACGGATCTCCGCCAGAGCGGTGCCACGGAGGGGCCAGCTTTTTAGCAATGTGGTCGCCCCTTCTAGTGTGCTCGGAGGTGGGGGGGGGCTCCTCAGCCGGCGAGCCGGATCCCGGTTCTGTGACTGCTACCCTGGTCCGGAGCCCGGAATAGTAACAGACGGGTGGTAACTTTGCCTTAATGAAAAGTTTTTTTAAAAAATCCAGCGGGCACTGGTGGCAAGGTTGGTCTTAGTGAGATGTGTTTGGAGTTCTCCCCATTGTGACTTATCCCCAAACACATCTGTGCTGATTGTTCTCTGGTTTGCACCCCCATGCAACTTGGCCCTTTGTGTCTGGCCTCAAATCCTGCCGGGGTGCCCAAGTAGTTTTTCCCCCAGAGGTGGTGTGAGTTTTTATGTTGATAAAGCACATCAGAGGCTTTGGATGGAAGATGCTGAGATATGATGGAATCATAACAGATCCAGAGATGTCAACTCTTGTGATTTCATCTCAAGTCTCCCACATAAGAATCTCAGCTTTCATTTTAAAAAAAAAGTGGGGGTGGGGGAATGTGTCTGGTCTTCATGGCTGTTGAGGAAAGCTTGAAAACATGACCCGAGTGGATCTTACGGGCTCAAAAACCAAAAGACAAAAAGAATCCAACATTTGTCTTAAAAATCATGAGATTAAAAATAACTATCATTATTTTGGGGGACCCAACTCATTTTTTAATGTTTAAGGTTGGATGGCAAGACTGCCAATAAGTCTTTACTCCAATAAGAACGTCACCGGAGTAAAGACAAAGGTCCCTGTAGTAAAGACGAAGGCCCAAATCCTGCAAATAGTTCCTCATGGGCTTATCTTTATGCACAAGAGCAGTTCTTGTTACCTAAGTGAGACTACTGACATGCTTAAAGTTAAGCACAAGCTATTTGAACCTATTGGGTTAGTAGAGCTATGCAATTAAAGAGTCACACGAGCTGCTTCATTTTGCCATGTGGATGGCAATGCTTTATAGACTTTGTACTGATAATGCCATTTTTCAAGAGATCTAAGAAATAAAAAGAACCCTGTTGTCCTATTTTATATGTTGTGTTTGACCCAGAAATAACTGCTCCTTTAAACTAGAGATGAGCTTGACCTGGAAAAAGAGGCTCAATACCCCCTCCCAGAATCTGAAGAAGTTTGGATGCAGATACTCCGCCTATCTCTGTAACTGGTTGGACTGGAATCCCCAATCCAGACATCTATGAATTTTTGATTTGCATCTGATTCCAGACTCATTCTTGGTGAGTTAGGTTCTGTAGCATTCATGCAAGGTTCATGCACTTGGCAACATTCAGGGCACACCTGGAGTGTTGTGTAGGAGCAGTGCACACACGGCTCCTCTCAAGGGCATAAACCTTGGAATCTCGCCCAGATGACATGAACCGTGGGAAGCCTCCCAGGACTGGGCTCAAGACCCGAGAGCAAGGAATGCGGTAGATAGAAATTGGTAAATAAGAATGTTAAACAAAGCCAGTGTATTCCTTTTATCTGTTGGAGAATGTAATGCGCGGGGGGAGAGAGAGAATAAAGGAGAGGGTGGAAAGCTGACAGGAGCAGCCCGTTGGCAGACCAGCCTGCTTGCTTGCTTAAAGCTTTGTGCTGTCTTGTATTTGGACCGCAACAAGGTTCATTTCTACTTTTCATAGGTGTTCATTCAGGAAAGTTCATATTGTCTATCTATCTGTCATGCTTTGTGATCTGCAGCTGACTGGAAAGGAAACCAGGCTATCTTGTTTCCAGTAAAGGGCCTGCTCACTTTACCAGCGTTTTTCAGTCTCTCTGGGGAGGTTGAGGTTTGCAGTTTTTGCAAATCTATTCTTCAGAAAGCAAAATCATTCGGAAGTCTAAGAAAGCATAGCCACTACGCTTCCTGTGGGTGGCTTGGAGGCCGTAAGCACATTTTGATTAATACAGCATTGCATTTTCACACGGTGAAACCTCTTTTTAAAATTTTAAAGAAGCTAATAACTTCCGTTTGGTCACTAGTCTCTGCTTTGCTCCCAGGAACAGCAGTGTTTTGGAGCCTGTGGCAGCAGTAGCAACCATCCCCTGAGCCAGGTCCTTGTTGGCTGCCACAGGATCACCCTCTACAGATGTTTTACTCCAATTTTGGCCCTTGCAGGAAGGAAAAGAGTGGGGAGAAAATCAATTTTTTTCAGTAAAGAAGAAGTGACCTCCTCAATCTCCAACAGTTCACTTCCACATCTCTTTCTTCTGTGGCAGCTGAAAAGGTAAGGGATATTTTCAATCTGTTTTATCTAACACAGCAAGGAGAAATGGATTTTTTGCTTAAACAATGTTGCTTAGTTTTTAAAGGATTTGTGGAAAGACTTGGAGCTGGAACTTGAACTGGAAGTGATTTGTTGTGAAGTAATCTCTTTTACTGGATAAACTTGAGTAGGATGATATTAATACTACAAGAGACAAGTGCAAGCAAAATATTTCCTTTTACAACACAAAAGACATTGTTATGGGAAAACATTCTATATCTACATGAAAATTAAAATGTTGCAGTCCGATAGTGCAAATTTTTTTTTCATAATTCTGCTTGTCAAGTGAGTTCTAATTAATTAATTTGATTGGTATTTGTATGAGAGGCAACTGCCATAAAGTCCATTAGCATTTGTGATTTGCATGTTTTTTTTCCAGGAAATAGCATTACTCTGAGTTTCTATTATAGATATGCCACGTCTCTCTTTTAAATTAATGGATCTAATAGTCAAATTATCTCAAATCAGGACCTCATTTTCACAGATTATTTTGTATGTATTTGATTCAGTGTCACAACCAAAACCAAAAAATAAATGTGGCTATAGGAATTGGAAATGTTATTCATAGATCTCACAATGAAAATATCTGAGTAATTTAAAATTAAACAAAAATGTTCATATACAATCATATACTATTATCCCATATATCACCACAATATTTAGGTGTTGTTTATTATAAATAATAATAAAGATGATAATAAAATACTTTGCCTTTCATCTGAGGATTTTAATTTAGAAAGACCCCAATTTTTACTCCTACTGAGCTTGTCTGAGTTCAGACTGGTGACCTATTAGCAAAAAGATCTCTGGTTTATTAGCAGTGCCTAGTGGCATCCAGCCCCCAAACAAGTAGTAATTTAAGAGAGAGTCTTTATATATGTTACATGCAAACAAGCAACCTTAAGAGAAGGGTAAAGTTGCAAAGTCAAATACTGAAAGATTAAGAAATGGCAGAAGTAAAGTTACTCATGCAAACTTAATCGTGCCCACTTGTATGTATACATTATGCTATAGCCTGTAATTATGTGAGCATATATTATATTTTCCTGAATGGCTGGTCATCAGCAAAGGTTGTACGCAGAACTTCCAGATCCACATTGCAGTCCTCTTGGGCTAATGGAGTAATGTAGCAGAACTAAGTTGTTATCTTTTAGGTGGACCAGTCCATAGACAGGAACATGATACACCCTTTGTCTGTGACAAAATGGCAACTATATGTGGTAGAGCAGTGGAATACTGGGAATCAGTATTTCTGGCTCTGTTCCTGACTTTGTGATCAGAATGTGGTTTAGTTGTTAGAGTGATGGCTGTGGACCGCATAGCCGAGTTCATACGGCATATGCGTTCCAAAAAGCATTCTGTGAAAGCGGATGAGACCTAGCTCTATCATATTATAGACATTTGGACCTCCTGGATTCTGGGCTGCTCTAACTTGTGACAGCTTCCCTACTGCTACCAATGTGCTGCTCTCCAGCTCAAAATTGCCAGAGCTCAGAGTGCTCCAAAGATTCCGTAGTCTGAACCCAGCACTGGATGCTGCAAAGGAGAAAGGCATAGAGCTGTGTACATTGGCCCTGTATCATTTCCTCACACAAGTTTAGGAATGCCCCTGGAAAGTCCCCCGGCCTCAAAATTAACAAATCAAACAAACAAAACCATAACCCTATCTTAATCAAAGTGTTTATACCCTAAAAAGGGAGAGGAACCATGAAGTTTATTAGGAACCTTGCTATTGAGTCTACACAGAAGGTGCTCAAGCATTATAATGATGAGGGCAGTATAAAACTCTAAGCTAGCTAGATGGATTTTCCCAGAAGGCATGTAATGAAGGAAGGTATCTGAAGATTTTGTAAGATTTTTTTTTCCTGTGACTCCTGAGGAACAGTCGTTATTAAAAATATCATTTCTTGATTTCTCCTAAGAATAGGTCTGATGCAGGTAACTTCAGTGATTCAAAAAAGCTCTTCTCTACTGTTACAAAAGTAATCACCTGTTCCATCCAATTTGACCACATCTGCAAAATAATTACAAAATCTGGTGATTGTGAGGCATGAAGCTTTGCCCCCATAAGGGCACTTTGTTTACCCTCTAAACTCCCTAACTGTGATTCTAAACTAGCTTAGAACATTTATAGAAAATTAGGTATGTAACCCTTCTTCCAGGTGGAGTCGGAAGTTACAGGGCTGGGTGCAATATCTAGGGCAGCGGTTTTCAAACTGTGGTTCGGGACCCCAAAGTGGGTCATGACCTCATTTTAATGGGGTCGCCAGGGCTGGTGTTAGACTTGCTGAGGCCTGGGGCTTCAGCTTGGGCCCTCACGCCCAGAGTGGCAGGACTTGGGCAGGCTCAGGCTTCGGTCCCCCCTCCTGGGGTCATGTATTAATTTTTGTTGTCAGAAGGGGGTCACGGTGCAACAAAGTTTGAGAACTGCTGATCTGGGGGTTCCTTTTTAACAATACAACACAAAACTTGCTCAAGTCCCCACCCAATAACCTAGGAAAAGTACACACCACCTCTTGGGCACCTCTACGAGGCAATACTTCCCCTCCGAGAAGCACAGAGTCTGTGTGTAGATAAGAAACTTTTAATATAAAGGGGGAAAGTAACACAGCATTATCTTGGGAAAATGGCACAAGCAGGATTCATAAGCATAAGACCATGAGCAAAACACCCATCCCAGAGTACATTGGGAGTGTCTTCTGTCTCAGGTTCTTAAGTCCATCAACAAAAGTTCCTTTAATGTCCCCCTCCCTCCGTCACACTCCACTTGCAGTTGTTGTCCTTGGTCAGTGGAGACCCAGCGTTCAGAGGTGATTTTGCATGAGTTCATCTTTCACCTTTGTGGGGAGAAGACAGCTTTCTTGTTCCCACAGCCACTTGCTCACTGCTCCACCACACCCTCTGAGATGTCTTGAGGTCCCACCACTTAACACAGCTTTCAGTGCTCAGTTATTTCTGCAGCAGCAGAAGACCCACCACTGCGTCAGTGGGGATCCTGGCCGCAACACACTGATATGGGTTCTGGCAGTGCTACAGCCAGACTAGGGTCAGCTGCCCCCGGGCTACTTCTGGACTCCCCGTCTTGAGGTACATGGATCAGGGTGGTGTCCTCAGGGGGTACCAACACCGTGAGTTCCTCAGGATCCCTGGTGCAGGGCAGGCTCGGCCACTCCTCTGGGTAGCTGGCCTGGGGCAGGCTCAGCCACCCCTTGAATTTGCCGCAGGTCGCTGGGGCTTCTCAACTGGGAGATAGGCTAGAGGCGTCTGGTTTCCCGAGCGGCTGCTCTCTCAGTGAGCTCTGGGGTCGGGCCTTTATACTTCCTGTGCCACACCTGACCCTCTGGGGGGTGGGCTCAGAGCTCCCGGGCTCTGTCCACTGTGGTGTTTGGAGGGGCTCATCTCTCTCTGGGGTCATGCTGCACAGCTAGACTGAGTGGGTGTGTCCATGCAAACAAGATTGGCTTCAGAAGTCCTATTCCCCTGCTGATCACCAGATGTCAGGGGAGAGCTCATTCAGACCTTGCTTACACATAATTGAACAACAAAAAACAAGAAAATTGCCAGAGCAACAAAGATTGCCTGACTCTGTCTTTTCACGAGTAGGGAAAAATAGTCAAAGTATAACACAATACAGATTTTATAAAAATTTAAAAACCGTGTATATTTAGTCTTAGAAAAAAGAAGACTGGGGGGGACCTGATAACAGTCTTCAAATATGTTAAGAGCTGTTCTAAAGAGGTGATCAATTGTTCTGCATGTCCATTGAAGGTAGGACAAGAAGTAATGGGCTTAGTCAGCAGCAACGGTGATTTAGGTTAGATATTAAGAAAAGCTTTTCAACTATACATATACACTGGAAGAGGCTACCAAGAGAGGTTGTGGAATCTTCATCGCAGGAGGTTTTTAAGCACAGATTAGACAAACATCTGTCAGGGATGGTCAAGGTGTTCATAGTACTGTCTCAGCACAGGGGGATGGACTATATAAATTCTTGAAGTCCTACATTTTTATGATTCAAGCCAACCTCCATCCAAGCTGTGTAAAGCTATTGGCTGTGTTGTGGCTTTTAAACCACAGTCTGTATTTGTGGGGTGGGGTCGCATAGCAGTGGGAGTCACCAGAGGCATTTTGGCTCACTGGGCTAGGTGCAACAGGCACTCCCTCCGTGCTAATTCAGCTTGGCCATGCATCCCTAGCCCTGATCCCTTTTGGGAAATCTGGTGCTACCACTGCACTAGACTCTCCAGAACCTCTCAGAATGCAAGAACTGGGACTGTGGCTGACACCTGCATAGGGGCATGGGGAGGGAAATGATTCTGGGCCCTTTCTTCTCAGTTTGACCCCCAATCAGACCTAGCCATGGTTTGGTTCTGTATGTTTTAAATGTTGCCAGATGTTATAATTTATATCTCAGGAGATCAGAACTGAATGTACAATTGCCCCATTTTTTTTTTTATTTTTACTGTGCACAGAATCTGAGTAGCAGCAGCAAATCCATTGTTGCTGAATGGTGGTATTCTAAGTACTTATTTTGGGCCATCTCCGAATGTCTTTATTCAATTGTTTGCTGAGGCCCAGATCCACAAAGGTATCTAGCTCCCAACTTGCAGGGAAATCAGTGGAAAAATTAGGAGCCTAAATACCCCTGAGGATCTGGGCCTCAGTCTTTATTCAGGCTAAACTCCCATGTACTTAAACGGGAATTTAGCCAGAATTTGGCCGATTATTATTTTTTATTTGTACAAATACAAATCCTTGAAAATATCACTATTTGTGTACAAATAAACTATTCTGTGAATCTCTAAAAAGGATTCTCTATACTTCCCATTATCAGCTTGTTATGTACTGTTCAGAAATAGCTGCTGTCAAAAAGCTGTTTCACAAAATGGGCCCGAAATCTTTCATTCTGTGTGTGGCATTTTGTAGACCCGTGGGAAAACCATTTTGTTTTTAAAAATATG